TGAGGTGGTGGCTTTGAAAATTTTGTGTGGCGTGAATGAATTTAATTTTTTTTCTTTTTTTTTTTTTTTCCTTTTTGGGGAAGGCTACCTAAAGCTAGAAAAGACTCATATGATAAGAAATTAACAACCGTGGGACAGACCCTAGCTTTTATCTATCAAAAGGAGAGGATTACATCCTCTAGGTACTTCAGTGATATGCGTCCACTTGTCTGGGAAATCTTGGGCTAATTTAACCAGGTAACCTGTGCACTTATGGCCTTTCCAGAAAGTAGTTCAGAGTTGAATGCGTTCGCATGCATGTATATGGAAAGAATTAATTCGTTCAACACATTGGCAAATTAAGTTTGCAAGGCATGTGTAAAATAATTTTATATTATTTATGTAGCTTTGGGGATAAAACATAGTTCATAGTTGGACATGTTGGATTCTTATTTATAAGCCATAGTGTAGGCTATAGAAGAAAAAAGAAATAGTAATCAAAGTGAAGAAGTGAAGTATAAGATGCAATGTATGTAGTTTTGAAGAAGGTGCTGGAAAGAGAGAGGAGGAGAGGACAAAAGTAGGTGGTAATTGAGAAAAAAAGAATATTCTTCTGATGTGGGTTAATAAGAAGAATATTGGAATTAATTTGAGGAAAAAGGAGGTGGAAATTAGGAAGAAGAATATGGAATTAATTGGAATATAGAAAAGGAGAAAAGGAGAATATTCTTCTTATTTAGGTTAATATGAAAAATATTAGAATTAATTGAAATTAATTAGAGGACAAAAGGAGGTGGTAATTGGGAAGAAAATATGAAAATAATTAGAACATGCAAAAGGAGAAAAGAAGAATATTCTTTTTATTTAGGTTAATAAGATGAATATTAAAATTATTGAAATTAATTAGAGGACAAAAGGAGGAGAGGACAAAAGGGACTGAAGGAACAGAATTAACTGGGTAGAAAGGATCAAATTAATTGGCTTGCCACTGTTATATTAAAAAATAAAACAAAAGGAACATAATTAATTGGGAAGGAGGGACCAAAGGAATGGGTAGTGAGAGGAAATATTTGAAAAAGGGTGCACACAATCAAGGGTGTCTGGTTGGGTTGTTTGTAGTTGTACTCCCTCTCTTATTCATCCATCTTAATCTTAATTCTCCCTTCTTTCTTTGTTTCTTTCTTTTTTAGAAAAGATTCTTTTTGTTTAATAAAAAAAAGATGTTGATATAAGTTGTTTCTCATAAACTCACTAAAACTAAGTTATATTTTTAAGTTCAAATCACACTTTAAAAATATTTACATATTATCTACCAACAATAGCCTTACATGGATGGTAAAATTTGAACCCATAACTTTATACATTATGAGCTAAATTTTTATCAACTTGATCAATTTTTTTTTTGAAAACATTTTGTCCTGATGAGTTTCTTTTCAGGTCCATCTAGTATGTATAAAAATATGACAAAGTGGTAAAATATTTTACAAGATGAAACCCTTAAAAAAAGTTGGTGTTTGAACTATTTACCATTTTTTGGGTTAATTTTTCTTTCATTATTATGATTTATTGTCATAGTACACATTTCTTAATTTCAAGGTCAATTTTTTAAAAAAAAAGTACAATCAATTATTATTTATTTTCAAGAAAAGTATATATATTTAGTTTTTAAATTTAATATAAAATTTTAATTTGAAACTTTAAATATTTAAAATATCATTTTAGTTATTAATCCTAACATCGTTGGCATCATATAATAATTTTTTTGTTAATCATCCCAACATTTGTGAGGAAAGCAGTAAACGTGTGAGAGGGAGTGAGGGCTAAGCTAATTAACACTTTCAAAAAACTTCATGCCTATACATCAAAATATAACGGGAGATCATTTATTTATGTTCTTCTTCTTGTGCAGTCAGAATTTTCCAATTAGTGTAAATAACTTCACAACAAGTGATTCTTCTTCTAATGCCAACCCCTCCCTATTTTTGGAGACATCATTTCAAATTAAAGGTCACTGCCGTTTGTCCTTTTAATATGTACAATGCTATTATAATTATAATAAATATAATTATTAATTAATTAACAATAATAATTACTCTCTCTATTAAAAGATATGAGGCATTTTTGAGGGGTTGGATTTAAAAAAATATAAAAAATTTTTAGCATTTTAAAATGTAATTATTACTTTTTTTTAAGTATCCCTATTGAATAAATTAATTTATATTTATTTTAGAACGAAATACCTTATTAAACAGGGGTACAAATGGAAAGAAAGGGTTAGTTTAAAGATAAGTGATTACTTTATTAGAGGTGAGATTCAATTAAAAATGCTTTATATTTTTTATCGAAGGGAATATATTAATAATAATTATTAATTATAATTGTATTTGGAAAGTGTTTTTGGGAAAATATTGAATGTTGAAAGTTATTTTAATGAATTAATTATTATAAGCACTACAGAGTTATCCTATAAATTTTCTCTTACATTTTTCTGAGCTACAATGCTATGTGAGGAAAAATAAAATGAGGTGGTGGCTCTAGAAATTTTGCGTGGCATGAATGAATTTAATTTTTTTTCTCTTTTTTTTTCCCTTTTTGAGGAAGGCTACCTAAAGCTAGAAATTAAAAGACTTGTATGTAAAAAAAATTAAGAACTATGGGACAGAGCCCAGCTTTTATCTGTCAAAAGGAGAGGATTACATTCTCTAGGTACTTCAGAGGTATGCATTCATTTGTCTGAGAAATCTTAGGCTAATTTGGCCAGGTAACCCATGCACTCATGGCCTTTCTAGAAAGCAGTTCTAAGTTGAACAAGTTTGCATGCATGTATATGGCAAGAATTAATTTGTTCAAGTCATTGGCAAATTAAGTTTGCAAGGCATATGCAAAAAAAATTTTATATTATATATGTAGCTTTGGGAATAAAAGATAGTTCATAGTTGAACAGGTTGGATTCTTATTTATAAACCATAATTTAAGTTATAGAAGAAAACAAGAAATAGTATTCAAAGGGAAGAAGCATAAGATAGAATGTAATGTAGTTTTGAAGAAGGCACTGGAAAGAGAGAGGAGAAGAGGACAAAAGTAGGTGGTATTTTGAGAAAAGAAGAATATTCTTCTTATTTGGGTTAACTAACACCAACTCCGTCGTGCAATGCACGAGAACGCATTCACTATGACAGTAATACTTCTAACAATATCTTCCATGCAATTAGATGATAAAAAGATCCAGTAGATCAATAATTGATTCTAAAATATATTAGGTTCGTCATTTACTAAGTGAAAATATCAAGGATAGAATGAAATTAAAGAAGAAAGGACGTAGACCTAATAAATTTTCAGAGCTTACAACTAAATTCATAACAACAGCTAATGTATAACAACATTACATGAGAATTTACCCTTTATGTGAAAGGGTACTTGGTATGTGTATATTTGAAGAGAATTCGTCCATCTATATAATCTGGTATTACTATATACTATATACTATATACTATATACCCGATAGTGGATGATCATTTATGCAAATTCTTATATAAAAAGAAGTTGACAAACATGGAGTTGGGGAATTATTCTTTAGGTAATCATGACAAGAAAAAAACTTAAATAAAAAAATTAATAATGGATTAAAGCTGCTAATACAATGACATGATGCCGGTTATGCTAAAATGAGAACTAGAAAATCTTACACATATAGATCTTTACTTGGATATAATAACAACCTAGAAGCTATAACAAGGTTTTATTAATTGAATTAAGGTTCAAATATAATTTCTATATATAAGAATTGGACATCATTAGAATGGTGATCTTCCAATAACAATCACAAAGCAAAAGAAACTACTGATGCCTAACTACAATTTTTATAAGATAATTCGACCAAAAAATATTTATATAAATAAGCCAACAGTAAAATAATTAATTTTAACAACAAAATACTTAAAGATAAACATGGTTTAGAAGAAGTTAAGAATGGATCAACATTAGTGTAGAATGACAACGAAGAAATAGAATGAGGTCGAACATGATCAGTAGGTGATAATTTATCAAAAACTGGTAGGCTTACACTAGAATAATGACCAGAATTGCTTAACCTTGGAGATATGAGATTTTCTGCATCATCATTACTTGATCCCAAGACTTCTCGAGTGTAAAAAGTTAAAAACAACATTAACTGACCATAGACAACTTCAAAGCATGCATGAACTTAAACGTGATTGGAGTTGGTTTTCAGGATGCGTTCTGTATCTACTTGGATTAGTGGCACATTAAGATGTATCATTCAAACCAAATTTATCCTTCAATACTAATCCTCCAGCATCAGTCGGCAAATAGACAAGATTTGAACTTGTCCTGTTACTTTGATTCTTAAATTCGTTACTCTTTCACTTATGTAGCGTTTGCTTTAATGGTGTAGATTGCTGATTGTAGTCCTCAAAGGAACAAAGTGAACTTCTAAGCTTGAAAGCACTTGTTTGCAAATTAACAGCTCCTATATAATACATGTAGGAAATAATTAATTATGAAACTAACTTGTTTTGGGCAAAAAAAAAAAAAAACTAATGAGTAATGAATGACTACTATTTATATTTGAGAGCAATAGAATAATTTATTGACATAGCAACTTACTTTTAAAGACAAAATGGCTTTAGCATTAGTTGGGAAAGGTCAACATTAGTGTATAATGAGGGAGAAGAATCAAAATGAGGTTCAACATGTTCTGTAGGTGATGATTCATTGCTTACACCAGGAAAATGCCCAGAACTGGTTAACCTTGGAATTCTAATTCTTTTCCAATTCATCAATACAAGAGAGAACAAACTTGGTGGTTTAAGGACCACTCATTCTTTTGATCACTATATGATAAATGCCAGCTCAGAAAATCCCAAATCCAAAAAATATGGAATAAAAATATTTCATTTTTGCAATAATAAAAAAATAAAAAACACGTAACCATATCATCATCAAAAGCCCTGACATTTGAATCATCACATAAGCCCTGACATTATAGTCTACTGCATAAATCAAAATGTAAACTTCAAGGAGAGGGGATGTTGTAGGCTTTATAATGAAGGTTGATCCTTCGTGAACTAGAAGATTGATCCTTTCATAGGTGCTTGATTCTTCCTCTTTTGTCACTGTACCTTTTTCAAAGGATATATAAGCATAATTCTTGTAACGACCGTGAGGTGGCTTCCAGACAGAAACACATAATTCTTCCTCTTTGATTCTTCTACTAACTTTCAGATAATTCTTCTAAAATCTAAGCATATTGTAATGACCGTAAGGTGGCTCCCAAACAGCATAATTCTTCCTCTTTGATTCTTCCACTAACTTTCACATAATTCTTCAAATATCTAAGCATCTTGTAATGACCATGAGGTGGCTCCCAGACAGCAAACCCCATCATCAACAACATGTAATAGCATAGGTTAAAAGAAATGCAACAGTGAGTCAAAAAAAGAATTGATATAATTATTTATTGATAAAATTGGTATAAAGATGAAATTGACGATGCTAGTGTATCCTCTTGACTTCTAGATTCAATAGCTTATATGTAGCCACTATAGACTGGGTCATCAGTAGCTTGGTAAGTCAGAACTTTTGAAGGAACCCTCTCATATCAATAAAATTAAGGTAGTGCTTCACAACTCCTGAAATTAAGTTAAACAAAGTTATTCAAACAAGAGAGTGAGATGCACCGAATCTATATGCTACCAATGTGATAAGCAAGAAAATGTTGTGGACAATAAAGAGAATCATATCATCCAAAAAGATTCAAATCATGTCAATATTCACTCTAAGAATGACTCTCTTAGGTCTCTCCTAACTAAATCTATCCAAGAAATTACATTCCCCAACTTCCATTAAACTCTAGGAACTTTATTGCTAGACCACTTTATTTGAATGTCTAACATTTGCAATTCAAATACAACTAGACTAAGAACTGTATAAAAATGCAAATAATTTTTTCTAACAGTGTACAAGAGGGAAAATTTTTCCTACAACAAATTTATTGTCAAAGTTGCCATACAAAAACCTATGTTCGATTAACAATGAGAATGTTACAAGAAACATTAGTTGATGGCATCATCTCTCATTTCAAATAAGCATTTAAACTTCTAAGTTCAGTTACTCAATATATAACATTAGTTGATGACTTCAACTTCTACCCAAAAAATATGATATCTAAACCAACATGGCTTGTTCTTCTATAGTAAGAATTCTTAAATTCAGCTCATATGCACAAAATTGACATGGCAAAGGAATGATGATAAATCTCTCAAGAAGCACAATAAATCACACAATGAGATAAAAAAAATTATAGCTACACTACTTAATATATTTCATGATAATATCTAAAAGTAAAATGACTGACCATCTCATTTGCATGGGAGCACAATATAGTCACAATTTGGGGGGAAAAAAATATTACTTAACGGGCAGCTGAACAACAGTCCCATGAATTTGGGAACACACCGTACATATTAAACTCATCTACAATTGTTGCCGACCAAATACTGGATAAAACATAATGGACTGATAGCATAATCCATTCTTTCAAAATCAATGAGAAAATCCCAAATCTCTCGGATAGGCAAAATCTAGTGAGGATAAGTAAATCATGAGACAACAAATGAAAAGAACACAAGAAAATCATAACCTATCCAACAAAGAAGAACAAAACCGTAACATTTTCATATTAGCAAGGATTGGACAGGGCTCATAAAGGATACTAAATCTCTCCAGAAGCACACAAAAATCACACAACTTAGATGTCAAACTTAATACAAAATCATAATAGCTACAATACCAATGCATACACACAACAATATCTAAAAGGCTTGATACAACATATATCAAACATTAGGTTGCAAAAACATCTGAACCATGTCACATGCATAATAGCAAAATCTATACAAAAAGGGCAAGTAATGGAATGGGAAGGAAAGAATTCTAAGAAATAGGAATTGGCTAAAGAGTTAGCCAAAAAGCTTTAAAGAGAAAGGTGAGGCTTCAAAAGAATGGAGACACACTGTAAGCATTTTTACATGTCTGTCACTCCAAAATCTTGAAGAAAATATTAACAAACCAAAAAACTATTACACAACAACAACAACAACAACAAACCTTTATCCCACTAGGTAGGGTCGGCTACATGAATTGCAAGACGCCATTGTGCTCTATCATTTATCAAGCTTTTAGGAATATTATTAATTAAGAGATCGCATTTAACAATTTTCAAGAGTGTTTTCTTAGGCCTTCCTCTACTCCTCTTAATCGGACTCAAAGTTATATGTTCCACTCTTCTCACTGGTGCCTCCCTTGGTCTTCTTTGTACATGTCCAAACCATTTCAACCGATTTTCTACCATTTTTCTTAAATAGGTGCTACCCTCACTTTTTCGCGTACGTGCTCATTTTGAAATTTATCTTTACGTGTATGTCCGCACATCCATCGTAACATTCTCATCTCTGCTATTCCAACTTTATGCTCTTGCTGTCCCGTTAAAATCTAGCATTCACTACTATATAACATTGTTGCAAAAAACTATTACACAACGAACCAACAAAAAAGATGTCCAGATTAAGCTTGATAAAAATGTAGCAAGTAAAGTAATATTTACAAAAATATACATTTACAAAAAAAAAAAGAAAGAACACATAATTTGAAATCTATCATATTAAAAATATAAAAAAAATAAAAACTGAAATAAAAAAATACAATATAATGCAAATGAAAAAATGTCTTCCTTAGTTAAATTACTCAGATAAATATATTATATGATTAATTATAACCATCAAACATGTGCTTGTTAAAAAGAAACAGTGATAGATCTTCTATAACCAAGTGAATGAGATCTCTTTCGAGAAGAACATTCTACAAAACAAAAAGGCTAGCGAAAGCAAGAAACATCACTAAGAAAAGATCACACGTGGGATATCCAAATCACCATTCCATGATGTCTGGATTCATTTTTGATAGAGAAAGAGACTACAATAAATATCGCATGCTCCCTTGACTACTTAGGCATAGACACAGTAGGAAATAGGGAAGAAAAGAAAACTCCCATGTCTGAAATACTGTTGAGCATATGTCTTCCAAGATTTCTTGGTCATACATCAAGTAATACCAAACAGACAAAGATAAAGTAAGATAATTAACCAATGGTCAATGATTCTCCTAAAAAAAGTCATTGTCGAAATTAGTACACAAACAGCAACACCAGACAAATAACCTGCATGTTTTGAATCTTGGAAGACAAAATAAACTTACAAAAGACCTGTCTTGAGTGCCAATTACCCATAGGTCAACATGCACACAAAAAAAAAAAATCTAACAACTCGCACGTTCATTTCTTTTGAAACGCAATAAAACATACTCAACCAACACGGGTGGTTAACCTACCTTTAACACAAAGAAATGAACCATGATCTTCATATCTTGAAAACTTCAGACCCTCTTGCTTTTCATATAGACAAGACAGAAAAGAGTCATTACCTACAATTTACTATGCCATTGTACTAAAACATAGAAATCAGAAATGTTATAAAGGATAACTGCCTAACTGGTCAATTTCGGGCTGCAATACTAATGAATATAGAATATTAGAAATTGGTAAAAAGAACAAATGGCAAATAATCTTCTCCTTACCACAAATACCATAGTATAAATAAAGAGAAAAAATAAACTTTAGTAAATAAAGTATAGATCAGTTCTTAAAACTTAAATATACCAACTTATGCTACATTTTGTTTGTGTTGGAATACAGAGTTGCAACACAAATATTAATTTCTTTGAAGATTAACACATTAGCCTAGTTAGTACCTATCTTGGACACATTTTAACTCAACCCTTAATAATGCCAAGTAATTCTGACATGATTACAATATGTAGATACCAGATGAATTTTAAATTAAAGGATCATAGTAAATTAAAGTATCCGTATAATCATACTTTAATATAACAAACACATCCTTGCTCAAAAAGGATAAGGAACGAATTTCTATACAATTACTTGGCAATGGTCTAAACAAATATACAGACATGAAGATGATGCAAGAGGTTATACCAATAAAATACCCGTGCAACAAAATTACTCAAGAAGATATAGGTGGTGATGTAATGTTAAGCACATTTACATTATCAAAAAAGTGTTTCTTTTGTGCAAAAGTTGGTTAGGACCTTCTAAACCATAGTAGTAATAAAGTGCTATGGGAAAAGGATATCCTATGCCAACACATAATACCCGTAACACTAAAACTTGTAAAGTCAAATTGCTAAGAAATTCAAAACACTATTGAATATAAAAATTGATTTCACAGTGGAGTACATTTGATCTCTAAAAAACAAATCAAGAAATAACCAAAAAATAGAATATAATTAATCATATATGGTATAGTAAAAGTAAACCATGATAATTATTGAAAGAGATCAACCATATTCCAAAAGCATTGATGATAGTGTTACCTAAATAAAAATCAGCCTTGATTTATATGCACTTTCGTGGTCCACACAACACTTATGCTTCAAATAAGTGTCTATAGAGGATACCGTAGACTGAAAACACATGCTGCTACTGGAAGAAAAAAATGAGAAAAAAAATCGTGGCAGATCACACAAATCACCATTCCATGATTTTGGCAATAAATTTAGCATGACAGAAAAAGTTTGAAATAAATATAATAAAATCAAATGACTACTAAGGCATGGTCACTGCAGAGAAAAAGGAAGAGAAGAAAACACATGTGACAGTAACACTACTGAACATAAAAGCAAATTTTATGGAGCACAGAGTACACTTGATCTCTAAAAAAATCAAGAAATAGCTAAAAAAATGGAATATAATTAATTCTATATGGTATAGTCAATGTATACCACAATTAACTACTGAAAGAGATCAACCATATTCTAAAAGCATCAATGATAGTGTTACCTAAATAAAAATCAGCCTTGATTTATATGCACTTTCGTGGTCCACACAACACTTTTGCTTCAAATAAGCATCTAAGAGGGTACCATAGATTGAAACACATGCTGTTACTGGAAGAAAAAGAAAGCTGAGAAAAAAATCTTGTGGCAAATCATACAAATCACCATTCCATGATTTCAGCAATAATGCATGACAGAGAAAAAGAATGTAATAAATATAATAGAATCATATGACTACTAAGGCATGGTCACGGCAAGAAAAAAGAAGAGAAGAAAACACATGTGACAATAACACACTAACACTATTGAAAGAAAGGAAAGAATTACTTCTCATACATCAAGAAATACCAAGAGGGCAATGAAAAAGGCAAAAAAGAAAGAGAAAAAAAAGAGCAACATAAATCAGATTACCCCCACGTTTTGAATATGAACTTCCAAAAAAAACACAAAGGAAAAAAATATACAACAATAGTTACCTATTGGTCAATACATTCACTAAGATACAAACCGTAAAAGTCAGAAAGCAACATGCCATAGATAACCCACACAGTTGGTTATGCTTCTTCAACAAAAAAGATGAATGAATCATGAGGTTCATGTCTTTAACTACCTACTAAGAGTGTAATCTCAGGTTTAGAGCTTGAAAAAATAATAATAAATGAGGAATTTGCGTCATCTAGCTGTATATGAATAGCTTCAAAATACAAGAGTAAAACAGCCTTGATGAACCAATATATGGCTTGAAATTTATTTATACCAAACTGACCTTGTATAAATAAAGAAAAGAAACAAATTGAAGCAGCAAAATTTTAAATTACATGGCATTCTTTGGATCTCGTAGAATCAAAACTCTTCAATAAGTGAACCAAATTTATGGCATTTAAAGGTGGAGAAGAAAGAATTGAAACTACCCATAACTTTGATTAATACTTTAAAAGGTGCTTAAGTTAAGTACCTAATACATAATTGTTCAAGAGGCCGGAGGGCTAGAAGTCCTCAACAATTAGGGACAAACAGTAATCTTGCAAAAAGATAACCCCAAAGATACAAAAAAAAAAAAAAGATAACATTAGCATTGTTCCATGACATGACACAAACAAAAGGACCTAGAACTATAGAGGTAGGCTACTCCAAGCAACTATTCTCAGGCTAAGTTGGTGAGAACAAAAGATAACTTCATAACAAACTTTGATGCCCTCTAACCAAACCAAACTGAAGCATACAGGAAACAAAACACTATTGACTTTACACATTTGAAACTGACACAAACAAAATAAGCTTATACATAGAATTATACCCAGTTCTCAGCTCACCTAAACACCAATACAAAACAAAAAATAGCGACAATTGGTAACTCCTACACCATTGCCTCAACTACTACTCTCTTGAAATGTTGCATCTCCTCAAATGTTGCATCAAAGTTTTCAATGTATTTGATCTCTTTCTTGAGTTTTCATCCGCCTCCTTAATTTTATCTTTAGAGATGAAGAGCTTCAATCATGAAAATTGAAATTGAATATAAATGAATGTGGATGAAAGATATTGGTGCTCATATATCTAATATTATGTCTATATTATTGCTATTCTAATCAACTACCACAGGATGAGAAGCATAGCTTCTCTAACACAAGTAGAGAACAATAAAAAAGAAGAAAGCATTAAACCACAAACACACAAAAAGGTATTCCAACTCAGATGTAATAATTTTAAAAAAATACGCCACAAGCCTATATACATTTCAATTCATGGGTCAAGAAAATAATGATATATAAAAGAGGAACTGTGTTGCAACTACATCAATGTTGTCATCATCAGCAAATTATAGAAGTTCCTTGTCCTGCTCTTTCAAGAATTCAAAAATTCCAGGCCCCGTGTTGAAAAATTCAATTTACTTCTATTCATTATTGCCTTCTGCTCCTTCAAGAAGTTTGTTGAACTTTGATTCATTCTTTCTGGGCAAGCTGTGAATACTTCGATCATAACTTCAAGATATGAAGCATGAAAACCAGGAGCAATGACCGCAAATATAATAGAAATAAACAAAAGGATCTTAGTGAGGTAAGTCACAAACATGGTTGATGATATTATAGTAGAAAAATAAGGCATACAAGCCACATTTGTCGAGCATTATTCATATTAGACCTCCAATATGTTCCAAATGCCATTATGATTCTTCTAGTGGGCACAACGGTGATTTAAAGCAGCATCTCCAAGAACTTTGATCCTAACTTCATGAAATCTTTTTACTAAATCCTTCAGTTCATCAATGCTTCCACATTTGATATCACATGCCATATGCACAAAGTAATTTTCAAAAGTTTCTTTTAATTTTTTCTTCCTTCAGTTTACTGAATCAAATCTTGAAAGGGTATTGTTTTCTATCCAAGTGAGTGATTGGTGATGAACTAAAACATTTGAATTTGAAGCATAGACCAAGTACATTCTGTGAGCAAATTGTTTAACATTGAAACCATCAATTGAAAAATTAAAAGATAGTTTCCATCACTGCACACATATTATTAGAATACTAGCAGCATGTTAATTCAGTACTTGGAATTCAAATAATATACATCCTTTAGCATGTATCCTTCTGGTGAAATAGATTCTATAGGTGGTGGTAACCAAATTATAGTAAAGCCAAGGGATGCAAGCTCTGCAGCTTTCCCTTCCAGCTCCGTGTACCATCTTCCTGATTTATGAGATTCCCAGTTATACCCTTGGTGTATTATTTCATACCCTATGCCTATTCTTGAGCATATATTTAGAGGTGATGTTAGGGTTTCTGATTAATTAATAATATTCTTAAAAGCTTGATAAATGATAGAGCACAGTGGCGTCTTGCAATCCATATAGCCGACCCCCACCTAGTGAAATAAAGGCTTGTTGTTGTTGTGTTAGGGTTTCTGATTCTAGCAACCTCGCATTACACCAAGTTTCCTCTAGAAAAGTTAGAGCAGAGCCTTTGGAGATACTATAAGCTTCAACAGCAATTTGTTCAATTTCTTAAAGAATGCTTTCTTGTGCTTCTATGGATTTTGTCTTTTGACTCCTCCCAGAGGAGACATTTGTCAGTAAATTTCGTGTTTCATTTATTATTTCATTAGTGCATTTTCATCGATATTGACCTAGTTAGCAGTAGCAAAATTTTTTGAATGAAGACCATTGGAGAAGAAGATGAGGGATCTGGAGGTATTCTTTTGGGTGAAGATCTCTTTATTTGAGTTCTCAAACCTCATATTCTAGGCACTGAAAAGCATTAACAGGGAGAGAGAGGGGGGAGAGAGAATTATTAAAGGAGGATTGAAGGAATCAAGAACGTCGAAGAAGATCTACCTGATTCAGTTTGCTTTGCTTGAGATGTCTTTATATGTAGTTTCTGAGAGTGGGAAAAAGCAAAAGAATCTACTTGTTTCCCATCGAAAAGGAGAGAAGGATGGAGAGTTCTTGCTCAGAATTTCACAAATGGAGAACCCAGTCCAGAAGTCATCAAGAAGAAGGTACTGACGATGGCCAAAGCAGATGAGGCCAAGCTCGATGAGGAGATCACAGCCCTGGACTAACGCAATGTCGACGATCTAGAGGTGTTTATGGAGCGAAAAACTGTAGTAGATGAGGAAGATGGTAGGGAAGGCCAATGGATTTGTAAATAAAATCCAGAAGCAATGACGCAAGAGAGAGGAATGAAGCCTCTCTTTCCTCTTCTGGCTTTCCCGTTCCCATATTTGTTTGCGCCTCTTCCTCTTCTTTCCTCTATTTTCTGCTCTATCAATCACATAAGATGACATGTACACAGTGCTCGATGGAAATTATTCAACTTTGTTTAAAGATTTTAATTTAAAAAGAGGGGCGGGAGTTATAAAATTTAAGAGAAGAAAGAAGAGGGAGCCTTTATAAAGCCCTCGGCGCAGCTAAAGGTATGAGCCAATATTATTCATTGAGCCACCATCTCTGTGAACAGTAAAAATGGCACTGTGAATACTAAATTGTGAGAGGAGCCATTAGAGGATCTTTGCAAGCACTGGCTTTCACCGTTTTGTTATATATGGTATGTTGACAAGAAGAATATTGGAATTACTTGGAATTAATTTGAGGACAAAAGGAGGTGTTAATTGAAAAGAAGAATATAGAATTAATTGGAATATAGAAAAAGAGAAAAAGAGAATATTGTTCCTATTTAGGGCAATAAGAAGAATATTGGAATTATTTGAAATTGATTAGAGGACAAAAGAGAGGACAAAAGGAGGTGGTAATTGGACAAAAAAAATATGAAAATAATTAGAACATGGAAAAGGAGAAAAGAAGAATATTCTTTATATTTTGGTTAACAAGATGAATATTAAATTAATTGAAATTAATTAGAGGACAAAAGGGACCAAAGGAACGGAATTAATTGGGAAGGAAGGACCGAATTAATTGGCATGCCACTGTTATATTAAAAAATAAAACAAAAGGAACAGAATTAATTAGGAAGGAGGGGACCAAAGGAATGGGTAGTGAGAGAAAATATTTGAAAAAAGGGTGGACACAATCAAAGGTGTTTCGTTGGGTTGTTTATAGTTGTACTTCCTCTTCTGTTCATTCATATTAATATTAATTCCCCTTTCTTTCTTTGTTTCTTTCTTTTTTAGAGAAGATTCTTTTTTTAATAAAAAGATGTCGATATAAGTTGTTTCTCATAAACTCACTAAGACAAAGGTATATTTTTAAGTTCAAATCATGCTTTTAAAAATATTTACATCTTCTCCACCAATAAGAGGCTTACATGAATAGTAAAATTTGAACCCACAATCTTATACATTATGAGCTAAATTTTTATGAACTTGATCAATTTTTTTTTAAACATTGTGTCCAGATAATTTTTTTTTAGGTCCACCTAGTACGTATAAAAATATGACAAAATGATAAATATTTTACATGATGAAACCCTAAAAAGTTGGCGTTTCAACCATTGCCCATTTTTTGGGCTATTTTTTCTTTCATTGTTTTGATTTATTATCGTAGTACACATTTCTTAATTTCAAGGTCAATTTTTTTAAAAAAATTCATTTGATTATTATTTATTTTCAAGAAAAGTATATATATTTAGTTTTTTAATTTTATATAAAATTTTAATTTGAAACTTTAAATATTTAAAATATCAGTTTAGTTATTTAATCCCAATATCGTTGGCATCAAATAATGACTTTTTGTGTTAATCATCCCAATATTCGTAAGGAAAGCAATAAATGTGTGAGAGGGAGTGAGGGCTAAGCTAATTAACACTGTCTAGAAAACTCTATGCCTGTACATCGAAATATAATGCCAACCCCTCCTTATTCTTGGAAATATCGTTTCAAATTAAAAGTCATAGCCGCTTGTCCTTTTAATGTGTTCAATGCTATTATAATTATAATAAATATACTTATTAATTATTATTAATATAATAATTATTAATTAATTAACATAACAATTACTCCCACCATTAAAAAATATAAGTTATTTTTTAAGGAGTTGAATGTTAAAAAAATATTAAGTATTTTTAGCATTTCAAAATGTAATTATTACTTTTTTTAAAAAGTACTCCTATTAAATAAATCAATTGATATTTATTTTAAAGTGAAACACCCTATTAAATGGGGCTAAACATGGAAAGATATTGTTAATTTGAAGATAAGTGATTACTTTATTTGGGGGTAAGATTTGATTAAAAATACCTTATATTTTTTATCAAAAGGAGTATATTAATATTAATTATTAATTATTTTTGCATCTAGAAAGTTTTTTTTTTTGGAAAGCACCAGATGTTGAAAGTTATTTTAATGAATTAATTATTATAAACAACTACAGAGTTATCCTATAAATTTCTCTCTTACATATTTTCTCAGCTACGATACTATGTGAAACAAAATATAATAAGGTTGTGGCTCTAGAAATTTTGTGTGGCATGAATGAATTTAATTTTCTTTTCTTTTTTTCCTTTTTTGGGGAAGGCTAGATAAAGCTAGAAAAGACTCGCATGGTAAGAAATTAACAACCGTGGGATAGACCCCAACTTTTATCTATCAAAGGGAGAGGATTACATCCTCTACGTACTTCAATGATATGTGTTCACTTGTCTGAGAAATCTTGGGCTAATTTGGCAAAATAACCCACACACTGATAGCCTTTCAAGAAAGTAGTTCAAAGTTGAACACATTTGCATGCATGTATATGGCAAGAATTAATTTGCTCAATGCATTGGCAAATTAAGTTTGCAAGGCACATGTAAAAGAATTTTATATTATATATGTAGTTTTGGGGATAAAAAATAGTTCATAGTTGCATAGGTTGGATCCTTATTTATAAGCCATAGTTTAGGCTATCGAAGAAAAAAGAAATAGTAATCAAAGTGAAGAATCATAAGATGCAATGTAATGTAGTTTTGAAGAAGGCACTAGAAAGAGAGAGGAGAGGACAAAAGTAGGTAGTAATTGAGAAAAGGAGAACATTCTTCTTATTTGGGTTAATAAGAAGAATATTGGGATTAATTTGAGGACAAAAGGAGGTGGTAATTGGAAAGAAGAATATGGAATTAATTGGAATACAGAAAAGGAGAATATTCTTCTTATTTAGGTTAATATGAAGAATATTGGAATAAATTGAAATTAATTAGAGGATAAAAGGAGAGGACAAAGGGAGATGGTAATTGGGAAGAAAAATATAAAAATAATTAGAAAATGGAAAAGGAGAAAAGAAGAATATTCTTTTTGTTTAGGTTAATAAGATGAGTATTAAAATTAATTGAAATTAATTAGAGGACAAAAGGAGGAGAGGACAAAAGGGACCGAAGGAACGGAATTAATTGAGAAGGAAGGACCAAACTAATTAGCCTGCCACTAGTATATTAAAAAATAAAACAAAAGGAATAGAATTAATTAGAGGGAGGAGGAATGGGTAGTGAGAGAAAATATTTGGAAAACGGTGGACACAGTCAAGGGTATCAGGTGTCTAGTTGGGTTGTTTGTAGTTGCACTCCTTCTTTCGTTCATCCATCTTAATCTTAATTTCCCATTCTTTCTTTGTTTTTTTCTTTTTTAGAGAAGATTCCTTTTTTTAATAAAAAAGAGAAGATGTCAATATAAGTTGTTTCTCGTAAACTCACTAAGACCAAGGTATATTTTCAAGTTCAAATCATGCTTTTAAAAATATTTACACATTATCTATCAATAAGAACCTTACATGGATAATAAAATTTGAACCCATAATGTTATACATTATGAGCTAAATTTTTATTAACTTGATCAATTTTTTTTTTTTGAAAACATTGGTCCTAATGAGTTTTTTTTTTTCAAGTCCATTTAGTATGTGTATAACAAAGTGGTAAATATTTTACAAGATGAAACCCTTAAAAAAATTTGGTGTTTGAGCCATTGCCCATTTTTTGGGCTAATTTTTGTTTCATTGTTATGATTTATTATCATAGTACACATTTCTTAATTTCAAGGTCAATTTTTTTAAAAAAAAAGTACATTTGATTATTATTTATTTTCAAGAAAAGTATATATATTTAGTTTTTTAATTTTATATAAAATTTTAATTTGAAACTTTAAATATTTAAAATATCAATTCAATTATTTAATCCCAATACTTTTGGCATCAAATAATGAGTTTTTGTGTTAATCATCCCAATATTTGTGAGAAAAGTAATAAACGTGTGAGAAGGAGTGAGGGCTAAGCTAATTGACACTTTCTAGAAAAATCCATGCCTATACATCAAAATATAATGGGAAATCATTTATTTATTTTCTTCTTCTTGTTCAATCAGAATTTTCCAATAAGTGTAAATAACTTAACAATAAGGGATTCTTCTTCTAATGCCAAACCCTCCTTATTCTTGAAAATTTGTTTTTAAATTAAAAGTCACTCCTGCTTGTCCTTTTAACGCATGACACTGCTTTCCTTATGATCGAGGCTTATAAATAAGAAGGCTTATACTATGGCTTATAAATAAGAATTCTTTGGCATGAATGTTGCTTTCCTTATAAGGTTTATACTATTTCTTAAGTTGATCTTGCAAGCATAAGAATGAGTTGGATAGATGTAAATTTCCAGAGGGTGCTAAAAGCATTGATAATTATGATGATGAATTTGAGAATTGGATATGCAAATTCCTGCTGCATAAAGGAGGAGAGACAAGCTCTTCTTAAATATCGAGCATGCCTTGCTCGATGACTATGAGCATTTATCTTCGTCGGGTTCTTCTCCTAATTATTGCCATTAGAGTGGCGTTCTTTATCATCCTCAAACTGGCCATATCCAGATGCTTAATCTTCATGGTATATCTTTCGAGGTACCATTAAAACCTTAAAGAGGTGAGATTAGCCTATCATTGATAGAGCTACCATACTTGAGTTATTTGAATTGCAGTTTAGATGATTTTAACAAGAGTTCAATCCCTAAATTTTTAAGTTCTGTCACCAAACTAAGAAACCTTGATCTCTCTTCTTTTAAACCTGTGGGTTCTAAATCTTTCCTACAATTCTTTTCATGGTAGCATTCCTTTTCAACTTGGAAATCTTTCAAGTTTGCAAGAGCTCAATTTGAATTTGAATAACATTTAAACTAAGATTCAAATAACTCAACTGTGGTAGTTCTATCAATGATAGGCTAATCTCACCTCTTAAAGCTTTTAATGGTTTTAATGGTCATTTTGGTTTTGTAAAAGATATTATATACTTTATGCCAACTTAGGAGTATTTTATTTATTGTGCAAT